TGTTTGTGAGACGTGAAGAAGCCTTTATTGTACGCCGTGAGTAAGCAGAGCATCACAGGCAGATGAGCTATGGCAAATGACTCCCCATCTGGCCAGGGGCCTGTTGCATTCGTTTTTCTGGAGGACAGGAAAGGAAAATGGCCAGCACCAAACCCCATGCAAAAGCCTGTCAGGGATGGGGATAGATTTCAGCAGAGGTAGCAGTGGAGCAGTTCTTTGGAGTCAGGACAAAGGAAGAATTTGGGCTAAGGTTAAGGTATGCTTGTAAGTCATTCCATATGTGGGGAGCCTTGTCCGAAGTTGCTTCTGGCGTTCAGCATTCCCTGCAACGAGACCTTGAATTAGCAAAGCAAGCTGGTGTGGCTGTGTGTTTGGGATTTAGTGGCTGAACAGCAAATAGATGCAGGCACACAATGTGTGTGCATAACTGCAGCATAAATCATTTAAGGGAAAATGAGTGTGTATGAGGCTTATACCATAGGATGCTATTTTTTAGCAAGGGTTAAATGTTATCAGTGCTGGAGAGATTGGTTGGTTTGTGCTGTCCAGTCACTGGCAGTGAATAGCAGTACATGTTCAGCCCAGGTCTGTGCCACAAGGGGTGGCAGGCCACTGCTGGAAAAGGGAACTTGTGGCAAATTTGTGGGTTTGGTCCCTGAAGAGCTGGACTCAATGATCTTTGAAGATCCCTTCCAGCTCAGAATATTCTGTGATTCTGTGAAAGCAAATGCTTATGGACAGGAGAGTGTCACAGCCTAGGAGATTTAGATGTGAGCCAGTTCAGTCTGAACTAGACAGTGAAAAGTGAGCAAGCAAAAGTGATCTTCAGATGTTTTCTATTGATGTTTCCTGAGCCCAGGTTAGCTCCTAGACTGACTGAGGCCATGCCTCATGGGACAAGGTGCATTACAGTTGCTTAGAAGAGATAAAAGACACTACTATTCTATGGTGAATCTCCATGAAAGCATATTTACTTTTGTTTCCCTTTTATTTGTTTGGGGTTTTCTTCTTTTTAACTTTTAATCAGATGCAAATAAAACCTGCATGCTTTTTGTGCTGTAAAGCATTGCTGTAAAACTCTTTTTTTTTTTTTCGTGCCAGAAGGTAACAACAACAGTAAAGCATTGTGTGGATTAAAGAACATTTTTTGAGTACAAGTGATCATGTATAGCCTTGAAGAATCTAACATAGTGTACCCAGACACTGGAGGGTACAATTGTAATATAGAAGTTATTTTAAGGGGATTCTGGAGCATAAAGGATCTTTACTATGTGTCTCATATGTACGTTGTTATTTTGATTAAAATCTGGATATTTTTCTAAACTAACATCAGTATCTCCTGTTAACACATGCATCTTATTGAACTGACTGCAGCTACTAGTTATGTTGTCCTCCTTCAGAAGATGTCAGGTTTACTAACAGAATTGCTTTCTTGCCTCTTTTAAAATTTCGGGCTGATGGGTTTCTTATCTCGCATGGTTTTCTTGCTAGTCACATTACACTTAAATCTAATGTTGGCCACAGAAACTTTAATCCACAACCAGATCAATTCAAAGTCTACCTGGATCTTTTTCTCTCCAGTCTTTTCCAAGGATCCTACTTTTGCACAGTTTTGGGGTTTTTTTGGTGAGCCAAGAGGAGTGTCACACTGTGCAAGTGTCCCCGGCAGCCCTGGACCAGTGGCCCGTGTCACACCTGAGGGGACAGAGCACGGCTCTCATTTTCAGTCGGTTTGTTTTGGGAAGCACCCATGTCCTGAGCACCTTGCTCATGGAGGTGCCCTCCTGACACTGGTGCCAGCTGCTCGGGGAGAGGAAGAAGAGGCTCTGCAGTGGCACCACGGGCTGCAGTCATTGTGCTGCAGTTACTCTGGGCCACAGCAACAGTGCAGCAGTGGTGTGCTCTGACTGAAATTTCAGCTAAAGAAGGAAATGGTAACATAACTGACCTGTTACAGTCAAACAGACTTTGGTCGTAAATATGGGATGAAAATATTTCTGGTTTTGTCTCAGCCAGCACCTGATGCATACCGTCGTCGTGGTTAGACTTTGCAGATGACTGTTGCTTTTGGTGCATTTTCTGCAAAAACCTGGCATGTTCCTTTGCAAATCCACACATCTGCAGATGGCTTGGAGAAGGAAAGGATTGTTTTGTACAGAGCTTCACAATGTAGTTTCTGGTTGCCATCATTTTCAACACACCTGACCAATTCAATTTCCTGTCCTGAATCAACTTTCATTTAATTAAGTACCAGGTTCTCATTTCTGTTGGTTTGGCTGGGCTCTTGCAGGCAATCTGTTTTAATTTTAGAGTCTGAAAGAGGCTAAGTTTGGAAAAGAATCAAAGTCCTCCCAGGAGAAGGGTCTGCACTTATTTTGCTCCAAATGATAATGTCAAAAGGGTTTTGTTGTTTTTATTTTACTTTCTGTTTTAGTTTACAAAGTTCCACTTTCTTACAGAAATGCTGACAATTTGAATAGTCATGACATTGATATGTTTAAACTCACAAATGGGTTGCTTTTTTGAGAATGCTAACAATGGTCCAAAACAGATTAACAAGTCATAGTATAACAGTGAGCTGCAGTGGTTCTGGGTCGCCAGAGCTTAAAACAACTGTTAAACTCTTTGTGAGCTTTATATTAGTGGCTCTAGTATTGCAGTTGCAACTCTTTCTGAACTGATGTTGTGATGAACCTGCACTGGCATATTGGAATGTGTCAGTGGAGCGTGTCTGAGCATCCCACCCAGCTACCCAGTCACCTCTTCAAATTCCTGCAGAGACACTGAAGACCAAAGTGCATGTTGAAATGCAACAAACACTTTTATGCATTTAACTATGCATAACATAGATATACACTTCTTTGATCTTAAAATCATATTTTGGCTAAGTGCCTGTATCCACATTATAGAAATGCTAGTATTTATGCTGATTGTTTCTGAAAATAGTAGAAAAAAGTGGCTGCTAGTGATTCCTGCATTCAGCATATTACAGCTTACATAGTATTTAAATGATATTTCTATGATTAACTTTCTTGGATGACCTGCTAACATAATAAAAAAACTCAAACACTTCCCTGTGTGATTTTTTTAATGGAGTAGCTATCTTAAAAATGCAATGGCCTAATTTCAAAATAAGAAAACATATAAATTTTTTATATACAGGATACTGTTACTTGTCCTAAGTTTCCCCTGTTTTAGTAATAACCTTTGTTTTTGGGAGGCTTGGAGCAGGAGACATCTTTCTCCCATGAGATTAACTCAGAAAATAATATTGGTGCAGTTTGTGATAGAAGCTGTTTTACCATTCAGGAAGAGGATTGGTTTCTGTTGCAGTATGGCAAAGTTTTAAAAAAATCTCTCTCAGCCCAGCAGCAGCTGCTGACAGGTCTGGCAAAAGAAGACTCAGAGCCCAGACACTCTGCTGCAGCCTCCTCTTTTCAATGCAGTCTGCATTTTCCCAGCCCCACCCACAAATATCTGCTCATGCACTCAACAGTAGCAAAAGATGAATGCTCCTGCTTCCTATGTTTATAAGGAAATAGGAAAATTGCTCCCCATGTACTTTAATCCTGTTCTGACCTTGAAACTGAATAGAAAGAGGCATTTCATAAATAAGCTTAAACTTGCTTTTGTTTCAGGCAGCCTGAACCTACTCAGTTCTTCAAATAAGAGTGAATAATTTCTTTTACTTAAAGGGGCTCAGTACAAGCCAAGTTGCATTTTGAATTACCATTTTATGTTAACATCTAAATTAACATTGTTTGTCATTAAACTGGTAAAACTTCAGCATATCAAACAAATGAGCAAAAACTAGTTTGTCTACTGCTACACATGCACTTTGGTAGCATGCAGATATATGGAGCTAACTTAGGTACTGAAAATGTCATCTGGAATTCAATATTCTACCCAGGGCATTTAACTTAGAAGCTATGTATGCTCAAATAAAATGTAAGGTCAGTCAAGTTCCACTACAGCCCCCATTTTGAAAAAAAAGGCATAAAAAGGATAATAAAAGCCTTGATAAACCACTGTGCCAGTGAGATTGCTTTGGCTACTCAGATTAGCTTAGACATCTATGAGCAGCACTTAAAACAGTGCCAGCATTTAACTCATAAAACTATTAATTCAGAGCTTGCCATCAAAGTTCTGCTCACAAAAGTCATCAACAGACTACACTACCTTTCCCAAATTGAAATGGTTTGACCAGCACTGTTAAGGAATTTCACAGAGCAGACACTAATGCATAGTTGGGAGAGAAAAAAAGGGACACGGACACAAACACCCTTGCAAAGTATGGTTTCCTTCTGATGCAAATACACTTTAAGTAAGCTAGGGGGAATCTGTCTTAAATCATTGAAGGAAACTAGTCTTTGAAGACAAAAATCAGCTGAATTTATAGTAACCTTTGTGCTTCAAATTTGTGTATCAAAACATGCTCTACTAGTAAGTCCTAGCATATTAGCAGCTCCAAACACAGCAGACTATAGTGCATTTGAGTGAATTCCAGCCATTGTTCATATGCAGTTTGATATTGGTCAGTTAAAATGCCAAACTAGATTTTACTTTGGAAAAGCACACTGTGTAAGTATTGCCTCTTATTTATGGCCCTGCTTAACAAAATCAAAAGATAAAAACACAGAAGAAAACAAAAGCTGAAGTAAGAAAAATTCAAAATGTTAAAGCAGCTGCAACTTCAGGTTCTCCATTTGACAAATCAAAGTTTAAAATCTGTCCTACACATGCCCAGTTCCCCCCCAACAAGGTGTGCACCCTCATGAGCAGCACTGCTTTGCATGTACCCACTTGTATATCAATATTTGGAGTGTGTCAAGACCCATCTAAGTCCATTAAATGATTTTTACTATCAGTGGAAATAGATGAGTCCTCCTGAAGGACTTCAGTGTAATGTTCCTCAGTATACCAGGGACCTTCTCTTAAAATTAAAGATTCAAGTTAAGCACTTGACAAATGATTACAGTTCAGCCATAGACACAGCAACATTTTTGCTTGGCATGCTACAGCAGAAACTTTATTCAGTTCTTTTTGAAAATATTCGCAACCAAAATTTACTTTTGTAAACTCACAGAAATAAGCTTTAACATATAGGCTGTAGACAACTCAAATACAGGTAAATACTTTTAGCAATAACTTACAGATACAAACTAATGATAAACTACAATTTCACAAAGAATTGTAAACATTTTGCACAATTGTCAGTCCTTTCTTTTAGGCAAAGTGCTCTTTTGATGACAAATAAATTAACACACACATAACTAGAGTGGACTACTTCCAGACAATACAAAAAGGTGTTTAATAAGGCTTGTAAACAATGTAATAGTTACTTATGCAGAATCCATAAAAGTGTCTTGCAGGCTAAATAGACGTACATACCTGGGCAAGAATTATCTTGAAAATGCTTTGGGTGTTAAATAAAAAGTTAACATTAGTATCTTTCCAATTATATTTTCAATACACTATGACTTAAGGTTACATCTTTAATAGTTTCGATCCCTGATGAAAAGGAATTAGGTGTGACTTAGTGGCAGTTGTGTCATTGAATGGGGTAGCAAAGGCTGAAGTCCAAGAGCTGTAGGTGAATGAGCTACAAAAACAGAAACATTTACCAGTCAGCTTCATCGAAAGTAGCAAAAGAGAAGTCAGTAAATTCCACTGGGTAATGACTGTTCACTGTCCTAACCCTGCAGCATGTTGTTTTTCCTAAGCCAGCATCTGCACCCCTCCACCCACAGCCCACCTTAACACCACTGCTCTGGAGGAAAACGAGCTCAGGCCACACACGTGGCTCAGCCTGGTTCTCCCAAAACCATCACAGTCCCTCCTAACCACAAGTAGGACCCAAAGCTGTTGACCTGCTGGGTCATAAGACAAAGACTGAAGCACTTTTGACCACCAGGCTCTCCCCCCCTCCTTTGTGTGTTATTGCAAGGGAAGCTGAAGCTCTCAGAGAATTTGCTGGATTGAGCATATTCACAGTCCATGGGATAAAAGCCAGGGAGCAGGTGGCAAACAGTTTTCGTTAAAAGTATGCATTATTAAAATATGTGAAGTAGATGCTTAAATAAGTATTTTTATTCTTGTTTTAATGGTCTAGAATAAGCACGAATAGTTGTCTTCATACTCAGATCTTCAGCCATGCTATTGCAGTGAAGAGCTACTGCTTTCTTAATGAGGTGTAAATAGGAATTACAGTATTGATACACCCATTAGGTTTCTTTAATCAGAACTTGGTAAACTGTTTTTGCTACAGCTGATAATGTTTTCATGAGGAGAAAAAGAGCAAAGCTGTTATACCCACCATCCATGTAGCTATGCAGAGCAGTGAGCATCGTCCCATCCTGGGGTACATATGCAGAGTATGCCATTTCTTCTAACATGGGTGGAGACAGCCTGGAGGGCTGAACTGCTGTGACAGGAGCAGTGGATGAATGATTAGGACTGACGTGTTTCTTATGGCGTGCTCTGCAATTCTGAAACCACACCTGAAAAGGAGGGAAATCAATCACATCAATCAATAACATCACATATCATCAATCACATTGATGGATTGCATTCAATGCTAGCACAACAACAACAACCTTGGTGTTTATCTTAAGCTGAGTTTGCTTAGTTAATTGGGCCTTTGACACAATGCTGACAGTCCAAATGGAGAAATATCCATTCTAAACCTACAAGTGTGGTCAGGTCAGAATGCATCTTCAGTACCTAGCAGCCCAGCAAGGACAGGGACAGGCACAGTGAGGGGCTGGGCATCTCCCGGGGCCAGTGCCCCCCCAGGCCAAGCAACATCACCTGCAGCCCTGCTCAGCACGTCCCAGACACAATCTTCTCCCTGCCTGGAACTACTGACAGCAAAGCATATTTTTCATACGATATCAGATTGCCTTTTCACATGGAAAAGCACACAAGATTCCTTTTTTTTTAAAGGACTGACTGCAGCAGCTAAATACCTCATTTCTATAGAAATACTCTGTCAATCTTCCAGGCTAGAATGAGCCAAGGCAACTCAAATTTTTTTTATATTAACATATAAATATTTAACTGGTATTATATTTTTAAAATCAAATTTACATATAAAAATGCATCCATGTCTTTGCTGAGAGACACCTTCAAACAAAGAATCCAAGTTTGTGTTTCAGTTTTGGTTGGCATGTGTATACATTTTAACTCTGCTCTCTAGAACAATATCCTAGACATTCACTTGCTCCTAATGTCATACCACAGGACACTTTCAAAAAGAGTGCAGGTCTTAAGAACATACTACTACAGTCAGAAATACATATTTGGAATAACTTACTGCCAGTTTCTATACTATTTAGGCTGAGAAGTTTCTTCCTAGAACACTTAATCCTCCACACAAAGTGCAAGAGGAATGCAGCAAGTTTTCCAAATTGTGATGCTTGTTCTAGGTGTATTCCTGACCAAGGATATTGTATGAAAATAGATTTTAATCCATTTTTTCTCCATGTTAGAATAAGCCCAGAGAAAATTGTGACTGAGCATTTCCAATGGATGAGTACCAGACCGAGTCAAGTAACTTCACACTGTTACCTGTATAACACGCCTGCTTAAGCCTGTTCTTTCTGCCAGTTTCTGAAGTGTTTGTGCATCTGGATTGTTGTCCTGAGCAAACTGTGCTTGCATAACCTGAAAAGACAAGATATGAGATTGCAGGAGCATTTGTGTCAAAAGCCAGATTAGAGTCTTCTCAGCCTATGGTACTACTCCTTGCCTGTCTTCAGGATTTTTTGTTGTCACTAGTCTCTGGAGTGTACCAAATACATTAAAAAACAAACAAACAAAAAAACTCCAAAGCCAAAATACAAGTCCTCACTATGCTTGACTGAGCCGTGACATTTACCAGAAATTGAAGACTGGATTCAGATTGGCAGTAGTAAAAACTGGAAGAGGTACTCTGTAAGATTGCATTAAAAGAATTCTAGAAGAAAATTCACTGCAAAGCAATTCAAATATGCTCAATAAACACCTATAGTAGGAGACCACAGCGTAAAAAAGGCAGGAGTCATGATCCAGCACTGTGAACTTGTCTGCATCATACATTATATGGAGGAATTAATCTTCTTTTCATCTCCATGGAGAATGCAGGGACACTCTGTGCTTCCTTCGCCTTTCACCAACCAAGAAACAGAAGCTCCACCTTGGCTGATCTGATCTTTTTTGATTGTTTGGTTACTCATCTTTGAACATAAAATTGAAGTCAACACTTGTCTTAAGGGTATAAATTAGACCTTTTTTGAGGAAGTAATTGTGAATTTGGCCTACATACTGAAGACTTTCACAGGCTTAAGGATTCGTCCTGTTTATGAAAGTAGGGTTTCATGGATTTCTGCAGGGTATCTTCAGCAATTGCAAAGGATTGTTTTCTCCTTTTTGGACTTTTGACCCATCAAACTTTGCCTGGCTTCATCTTGGAAGATTCGGTCTACTACTTACCACATTCAGAAACCATTTCCTTTTGCAACTCTTCATAGAATCACAGACCATAGATCGCTCACCTTGTTCCAGCCCTACACCATGGCAGGGACACCTTCCCCGGTCCCAGGCTGCTCCAAGCCCCGTCCAACCTGGCCTTGGGCACTGCCAGGGATCCAGGGGCAACCACAGCTGCTCTGGGCACCCTGTGCCAGGGCCTCATCAGCCTCAAAAGGAAGAATCTCTTCCCAATATCCCATCCATCCCTGCCCTTTTGCAGTGGGAAGCCATTCACCCTTGTCCTGTCACTCCAAGCCTTCGTCCAAACTGCCTCTCCAGCTCTCCTGGAGCCCCTTTGGGTCCTACAGAACCAAGGTGCTACAGAACAAAAGCATTCAAAAAGCACAGATGTTCTTTTGCACAAGTCCTTTGTGAGGTGGGTAATTACACCCTGCCTCTCTGACAGTGCACTTTATCCCTACAGTGTTTCTCTTGTTGGAAGTAAAGTCTTACAGCAGCCTCGAGGATAGGTGGGGAGGTGCAACAAGCAGATAGAAGTATCATTAAATAACAAGATGCCATAAGACCTCAAATACCTGCAAAAGCATGTCACAATCTACTTTAAACAGGAAAAGAAGGGAACCTGGAAGTTTCAATAGCAGCAGCTGGGAAGAAGCCCTGAATACAGTTCCCATCCTAATGGCAGGTCCTATCTCCCTTTCAGCTTCTGCTGGGGAAAAAAGTTCCCTTTTGCTGAAGTTCAGGGTCAGTGCCCAGAGCCCTTGCCCTGTGCACCTGGTTGGATTATTGCTTATGTGCTTGTTTGTGTTAACACCACCTTCTGCCTCCAGTCATGACTATAATAGGAACCCAAGCTTTGAACAGTCCCATGCCTGTCTATAGAGCACTACTTTAACCCTCACGTGTTACACCTCAAGATGAGTTTCTCAACTGCTTTCACTATGAATAAGAGACAGGCCAACAAAACAGAACTCACACTGTGAACAGAAATTCAAAGACCTGTTAAACCAAAGGCAAGGAGATACAGCCAGGATTAGGTAGAAAGTCACATCTTCCTTCTCTCTACAGGTTAAAACCTCTAGATCTTGTCTCCTCACTCCCTCTTTCACTGGAAGCTGGCCCTATCTTTATGTGTTTCCCTAGAAAGCTAATTTAAGTGGTTATCTAGAGTTGGAAATAGCTCTGGATTTTCTCAATAGGAGTTAACTCTTGCCAACACAACAAAAACCCAAGAAGCCTGGAAAGCAGAGGAGATGCAGGCATTACAATAATTCCAACTTCCACCCTATTAATGTCTTGAAGTCACATACAGTGCCCATCTTTAGTAATAAACTAACAACTTTACATAATTCATAATTCACATTACATAATCTAAAAAATATTTTGTCTTTATTATGCTTAGTGATGTAAATGGCTGATTAAATTGATTTCATCAAGCAATCAAAATAGAACCACCTTTTTGTTTCCACTCTTCAGAATTATGATCTGCCCCCAGGGAAATAACGAGCTCAAAGAATACTACTTCATGTTAAACTTCCAGAAACATGCTGTGTCTTGATAATTTACGAAATAGTTTAAAGCATTCAAGCTTTTCTTTCCCCCCGTATGCATAAAACTTTCTGTTGGTTCAGCACCCATGTCCTGCATAAACCTGAGCTACCCAAGTTTTTAGCACTGCCTCTACCTGGAGTTGATCTGCTGTGAAGCTGGTCCGAGCTCTTTTTGCTGGTTTCGGATGATTAACATCTTGTTCTGTTAGTAACGCTCCTTCCACACTAATCCCATTACCTGAAACATTGAAAAGAAAACAACACTGCCTTCTAAACATTCACAATTATGTTGTAAGCCAGACTGTTCTCCAACAATAACCAACAGGAGTTGGTTTGCTGAATTTCAGCTTTAAAAACCCCATATTCCATTCGAAGTTAAATTGATCTACCATAACACTTTATGCCTTAAACAACTCCCTCACAAGTGAAAGAAATAAATCTAACATGCTGTTGCTTTCTTTTCTTTAGGATACCAAACAAGTTCTACAGACAAAAAAAAAAAAAAAAAAAAAAAAATCCAAACAAAACCACCAACAACCCACCTCCAAAAGCAACAAAACCAAAACGGAACAAACAAAATCCCTCAAACGTGAAATTATTTTCCATTATTTTGCTTCAGGAACCTGTGCTTCCAGTCTTAGTAAAAGCAGTCAATTATCTCTCGGCATGGAAAATTAAGTGAACCCCAACAATTTAATTAAACCTAAACCACCACCACAGTTCTTAACACAAGCAGTACGTTACCGTTTTCAACTTCTCTTTTCAGGTTGTCCAACATGCAGTCGTAGTGTACTCTGCAAAGGACTTTCTCCTCCACCAGGGCGAACTCCTCTCCCGTGGAGAGCTGTCTCTTGCAGGAGAAGCAGGCGAAGCACGCCAGGTGATAGACATTGCCCTTGGCCCGGCGCACCCAGTCCGTGGAGTGGATGTGCCGCCCGCAGCGCGAGCAGCGCGTGCCGTACCGCCTGCAAGACAGGGCGAGGGGGCCATGGCGGGACCACCGCCACAAAAAAACCCAAAAAACCCAAAAAAACCCCACAAACAACAACAAAAAAAATACCCAAAAAACCGGCGAGTTTCTGGTAGCTTAAGGTAAGACACCACTGAAATAGAGAGGTTAGTATTTTCAGAAGGCAAAAAGCAAAGCTGAAGCATTTTGACTGCTACATGAATTCACACCATTCCTTTTATAAAGATAATTACTCTTAAAAGCGGAAAGATGGAAACAGCAGACTGTTCCAAATTTTTGAATGTATTTATGTATTTCACATTACTCTGGTGGTAGTCTGAACTAATATATTTAGCTACATTACCCCTTTGCTCATCTTTCAGTATCTTCAACAGAAGGGGGGAAACATGTATCTTCATAGTTATTTCATCAATTCACATCACATTTTTAAATAAACTAAAAAATAATAAAAAAAATCTACATTTACATTATTACACTAGAAAATTTCTTTGAAAAGGAAACATACCACCAAAATATGTTGATTATTTAGATAAGAATTTGTCCTGAAGATGTTTGCAGACCCAAATTTTTTTCAACTTCCACAAATTCAGTTTTTTCAGAAGTTTACAGCACTCAGCTTGCCCCCTCCCACTGTGTCAGACTTGGCTAGCTGAATGCAATCTATTCACCACACGGCTGAGAATCCCGGAAAGAGTTTGGTGTAGCAATCAAACTAGACCAGTGCTAGCAATGGCATCAAAATTAACAGCAACAATTTTTGCTGCTTTCTGGATCAAAGACTTTACATCCTGAGTACTACATTGCCAACACAAAAAATATCCTTCCTTGCAAGATTAGCCTGTAATTTTGAAAGAATAAAATTCTCAATCAAACTGATCATAGAAAGGTATAACTGCTGAAAGCTTCTTTTAAATATCATGGGATTTATTCTGGACTGATTTTGCAGCTCCTTGTGATGGTTTAAGCCCCACACCAGTGAAGCATTACTCCAAACAGATCATCTCAAATTTACATTGCATTCTCAGCCAGCATTACCCAAGGACAATTCTTTGCACATACAATGGCTTTACAACCATACTGTGGCAGGGACTCGGACTTTTTCCCCCTTGGTGCATACACAAGTAAGTGATAAATACAATATAAATGCAGCAGCTGTGCACAACAGGGGAAAGGCAGACAGGAGACTTAGCAGGCAGTCACATTTACACAGACTTAGGGTTCCCCAATCCCTCCTCAAGAAAAGTCAGAGTTTAAACCGCTGAATATAAACCTAGCAAATGAAAGAGCCTCGAGTGAATTTCAGTTGTGCTGCAGTGAAAAGTTACAAGCAAGTTAACGAGTTGTCTGATAAATTACATTCCTAGAGGATATACCTGAAATAATCAAGTTTGCAGAAGATATCTTTATCTTTGATGTAGCAGCTGGTGTGCCTTCCCAGGGAAGTTCTGCAAACGCTACATGAGAGGCAGCGCACGTGCCAGCAGAGGTCATTTACCTGCAAAAACCCAACAAAAAAACACCAAACCTTCAATACTTGTACTACCAATATTACACTTTATATTTACAAACACTGGTTTTTTTTCCAGAAATAGTCAGAAGTTATACACGCACACCATGATTCACAGAAAAATTATCTTGAATGCAAAACTTTTTCTTTACAGAACTGCTTGCATATTGAAGGTTAACTAATTTGATTCAGGTCTTCAGAATAAGCTTTCATGGGTTTGTAATTAAAAACAGTAGAAGAGGAAGCAAGAGGTACAAGTTCCATGCAGGTATTTTGTGCCCAGTTCTGTTATCATAGCATTAGAGTAAGAGAGCAAATTTTGGTCTTATGTAACCTTGGGAAGGCAACTAAATTACACACTTCTATTTCCTAGTTTGTATAAATTCCTGCCTAACAAAAAAAAAAAAAAAAAACCAAAACAAAACAAAAAACAACCAAGAAACACAACAAAAAACCAAACGTTGCAAAGTTCTTTAAATTTTTTAAACATGCTTATTGAAAGGAAAAAAAATAAGTCTATCAGACAGAAACACACAATGAACCACTCCTCCATTTGCCACGTTTCTAGTAAAGCAAAATTGGCAAATAGCATTCTGAGTTTCAAAAAAAGCAGCAGGTGTTTTAATATCAAAATCGACATTTCTTTAATATGTCCACGGCAAAACTAAATGTAGTCATGGAATGCAGTAGAAATCAGCATTTTTGAAAACCTACATATAATTTTGGGGCATATAAAATAAATAAAGTTCGAGCAATTATTTTGATTTCTGCTTTCCTATAAAAGGAACTCTTAATTGTGCAGACATTGTGAATCACCAAAATAAATCATTTGACAACCCAAGACTCCTAGTGACCACAAAAATTAAGTAATAACCCTCTGGATAATCCCATGCTGTATAGAAGGAATTCTGAAAACCAAACAACGATGAAGTCTAAATTTTTTTCCCCACTGAGCCAATTTCTCATCTCATACCAAACAGCCTATATGTTACCTATGGGAAAGCAGATTTGAGATAATCCAGGACATGCCTTTCATCAGAGCACGGCCAGACAAAGCACAGAGAAGGCAAGGCATGGACTCCAACACTCCTGCTGGGATCCCCCACTCCAGTCATTCTTCAGGCTGTAATATTGCAGTTTGCCCAATGCTTTCCTAACCCTTATCCTTGTTGGCAGCCACCTTCCCATACGCCGACAAGTTCACACCGCAATATACGAAACTGCTGATAGCAGATAATAGCTGTCACCAAACCCTCCCAACCATCCCTTAGAGAGGCCGCAGAGCAGAGGGGCAGCGCTGAGCCAGACTGAGCCTGCCCGCAGCCAGCCCTGCCCTGCCCGGGCTCCCTGGGCCTCCCCAAGCCCGGGCACGCTGCCCTGCACCACGCGAGCTGGCACCTGGGCCACCGAGAGCCCACTGCCCCTTCTGCAGAGATGAATGCTCCCCCAAAGAGCAGGACACCAGCAGCTCCCGTGGCTATCCCCTTCGGTGCCCTTGTCCATCGACAGGGCTGAAGTTGAAAGGCGTGCTGCTGGTAGATAGTAGCATACCAGCGTCCTCTCTGCCTACACAAGAAGCAGTAACAGCTAATTTAAACTCAAAGCTAAATAATTTACAGGTCTTTTGCTCCAAGTCCCGTTATCCTGGTTGTTCAAATAGGCGACAGCAGTGATCAGTAAACTATAAATGAGCTGCCAAAACGTCACGGGAGTTAGCAGAACTGAAATTGAGTTCAAGTCAGTTCTATTGCTGGTCCTCTCGCCCATTCTGTGTCAGCCCAGACTATTGCAAAGGAGACAGGGCCACCCGAACCAGGAATGCGTGGCATTAACTGAGCACTAGCCCCCGTAGACATTTTCCTCGGACCTCCTCACCTCAACCAAGACCTAAGTAGACGATTTAGTAGCACCAGTTATGCTTCTAGGGCTGTCACCTACTATCACTTTGCAAGTACACAACAACTTTGTTTAAGGCTGAATCAACCGACTTCTGTCACGATCGTTACTCTCACTTTTCAAAGGAAAGACGGAAAAAATCTGACCCAGAATAATTTTAATGGCTATAATACAAAAGGCAAATAAACTCCCCTCATCCCTCCCTTCCCCCACAGTAACACTTCATGTTTAAGGCCACTTGGTTTTGTTTGTTTGTTTTTAAGTTATCTTACTCGGTCTTGATTGCTAAGACAAGAGAACTGCTCTGCACGTAAGCAGCTCGTTTCTTCCAAATATGCTAGTTGACCACCTTTTGCAGGACTAACTTATTTCCACATTTCTCGAGAGGCAATTTTGGCTTTGCGACTCACGTCGTTCCCCCCAGACCTACTTGAGTGTAACGCAGGTCGCGCCGCCGCCGTCTGACCACGGCCGGGACCGCCCGTTCCCGTTCCCAGTCTCTTCCCCGCTTCTCCCGGCGCGTCAGGAACGCGCAGCCCAGCGCAAGCAGCGTCACCCGAACCACCCACAGCAGCCAGGGTTCCGTCTGCGACCCGAAAACAGCGAACCAACTCGCTGGGACTCCGCACTCCCGTGTCCGCGGCAGCTCCGCGTCGTGCGGGGGAGGTGTCCCGGACGGCTGTACCCTCGGATCCCACCGGGCCCGGTCCCCCGAGGCTCTCCGGGCACTGCCGGCGGCCCGGGCAGGCTCTCCGTAAGAGGGCCACTCCCTGGCCTCAGCCGTGGGGGAAGTCGCCAGACAAAGGGGGCTCCGAGTTGGGCGCCCTTACCTTGAGCAGGTACTTGTCCACAATCTCCAGGCCGCAGCTGCTGCACACGCACTTGCCGGGGGCGCAACCCGAGCCTGAGGCCATGGACCGCGGCGATGAGGAGGGCGACAGGGCAGCGGAGGAAGAGCAGGAGTCCTCGTCAGCTGCTGCGGGGCTGGCCTGCGGGAGCGCCGGGACACCGCGGTCAGCGCCCGGCCACGCCCAGGAGCCCCACGCCGGCCCGGTCTGGCCCCCCGACACCCGTGGGTCCCTCCGGGAGTGCCACGGCCGGGGCCACCGGAGCCGCCGAGCTGCACCAGGAGCCCGAGCCGCGCCACCCCCCTGCCCGCGCACCTTCTCCGCCGGGCCGCCGAGCGCGGGCAGGTCCTTGTCCTCCAGCCTGCAGACGAACATCGGGTCACTCTTCCAATACATGGCCCTACCCTACCACATACCAGCCCTCGGCGGGCGGCGAGCCGGCTCCGGGGACCCCGCGCCGGTCTCTGCTCTCAGCGCCTGCAGGAAAAAAGTTTTGTTTTCAAGTGGGTGGACCTGCCCCGCTGGCCTCACCTCCTGCACAGAACCCGCCTTCCAGCGCGGCGGGGCCGTTATCTCCACTAGCGAGCCCGTGCGGGTTTAGTGAGGGGAGGAGGCACGGAAACCCCCCAGCATCAACAACAACAACAAAAATGCAACCCCCTCACCCCGAGAACCCCCTCACTTGCCACATCTTTTGCCACAGCTTTCCCCCACCACTCCAGTCTAAGCACACGTTCCAGTTACACCTCCCTGTGAGCGAAGAAAACAAACACGGAAGAACGCGAGAGCCCGTGTGACGGGAAGGATTTTCCCACACTCCTGAATCCCAAAGCCCAAGCGAATCCTGTAGCTCAAGCTCACAGCTCCTACACCCGTCTCACTACCTCACCTGCTGCTTGCACCTCCGAAATCCCGTAATAAAACCTTTCTCAATTAGCTAAAATAGAAAGGCCTGAGCTGCGGAAGCGTTCCTCCGGCTCTGAGCTCCCCCAGGTGCTGCTGATTAACACCAGTGTCCCGCTGGCACCACGAGCAGAGGGTGCAGAGGCTGAGTGAGGTGCCCCTCACTATCTGCAGAAGCAGTCGCGGAGAGGCTGTGAGTTACGGGCACCCTTTCTGCGCGATCACAAATCTTGTCCGCAGAGTACCCTCACACCGAACACTGATGGTGCTCTCGGGACATTAGGGGAGAATAGAGAAGTAGCTTGTCCTTCGCAAGTGAGGTAGATAATCGGGTATCTGCTTCTAGGCACGTGCTTAACCAGCCAGCTGGTTTTAATTAAACTTGTCGTTTAGTTTCCATCTTTTCTCTCACCTCGGTGGTTCAGCCTTGCCTCACCACGGATGCAGGACGTGTTGATGAGCCTCGGTAAAGCGATCTGAGAGAATTGCCCCCACATTTATAAACATGATGGATTTGATAAAAGGGAATTCTGCGTTTGAGGAACTGTGTGAAAGGAGAAGCCCCTTATTGTTCTCCGTCTAAAAAAGATAATTGTTTCAAATCCCTGGACCCGATCTTGCGGAACAGTAAACTCGGCTGTGCCGAGCCCCGGTAAAGCCGGGACTTACCGTCAATTACTCGTTCGTCCAGTGATTTTAACCGATCTAGCCGTGAGCAGAATCTCCCTGACATGCAGTCTCGGTGTCCCTGACACCGCTGCCTCAGCAAGGCAAGCAGGGCGTGGCGTGGCTCGGCGCAGAGCGACCGACGCCGGGCCCGGCGTCCGAAGCACCGAGTGGCGGCAGGGAAGACGGACAACGCCGGCCCCTGGGAGCCCGAGCCCAGCCCGGCCAATACCTGTGCTGGCTTGGAGCCGCCTTTCTGGCGTCTCTCCCGAAGACCCAGCGTGTGCTTGCCCAACCTCCGACCCAAATATGGGCCCCGGCCCGGCCCGAACATCCGCCCCGCAGCCGACGGGCTGCGGCCCCGCAGAGCGTCCGGTAACCTCACCTCTCCCCCCCTCAGCAAGGTTCCCCCCTGGGCTCTGCTCCCTGTCCGCAGCGGTGCAGGTCGGAGCGCCAGCGGCCGAGTGTTCGGGCGGCCCCGCGGGTCGCGGCGGGGCGGAGCGGAGCGCTCGGCTCGGAGCAGGACCAGCGCGGATCCTGCCGAGCCCCCATCCTGCCCCCCACGCGGATCTCCCCATCCGTGACTGACAGAGTCACGACAGCACTACTGTCGTCTGTCGCAGGTAGCACGACAGAAAATGAGCACCTGGCGGGGGGCTCCGAGGGATGCGCTGCGGCGGGGCCGGACCACCGTGACGAGAGCCCGTGAGGTGAGTCCGAACGCGGCGAATCGGGCACGGCCGGGAGCAGCGTCGAGGTTGATGATCGTCAGTGCTTTTCCTACGCCTTCAACGAGATTATTAATGAGGTTGGTGCTCGCTCTGAAGAGGGCTGCGGGTTAGATTTCTATGAAATAACCCCCTTCCTATGCGCTTTTTCTCTCTGGAAATACAGCGGTAGGAGTCAACAAAGTCAATCTGCGCGTTGTTTGCCGCGGCAATCGTGAGATTACGAGCAGCCGTAGCTCATACTGCGGTGCTGGAGGAGAACTAGTGTGCAGGAGATCCCCACGTTTCGTAGCGAATCCGGAGCCGGCTCCGCCAGGTGACGAGCGGGCGCGGCCGCACTGGCCGCCCCGGTCCCTCCGCCCGCCCCGAGGCTCCGGAGCAGCCCCGAGCAGCGCGAGGGTCTCAGCGGAGGCGGGGCAGGGGATGCGCTGCGGGGTGCGGTGCTTGGCGGGGCTCACCCAGGGCCTCTCCGATGGCTGCTCGGAGCCGCAGGCTGGGTCGGCCGCTCCGGGGAGCGGCAAGTTCGGAGAGCCAGGAGGAAAACGCGCCCAGACAACAGTACGTCAGCAGATCCGGGTTGTTGTTGTGGCCGGAGGGGCTTCCCAAAAGGTGAGCTGTTTTGCCGAGCTAATTGGAGAGAGGCGTTATTTTTGAAAAGCGGTCAGAAACGCGATAATGTGTACAGGGTGGACGTGGGAAGTATATGGGCTTGGTTATCCGGGATACACCTTGGCCCGTGCACCTCTATCACCCATCTCTCCGAAGTCCAGTCTAAACTTCATCGCTTAAATTACACGCCCTCAATTTTTAAGTGAGTATTCCTTGCATCGTTTTCTGAAGAGATGGAAACCGGCAGACACGCAGGCTCTAGAGAATTCCCGACTCTTGCGCACCCTGCTCTCCCACTGCCGTCTCTGTGCACATCGGAAGGATGTGTCCCCTTTTGGGGCGCCGGGTAGGACCCCGCAGCATGTCGTCGCGCTGTCGGCAGAGACGGGAGGGAAGGAGAACCTGCCAGGGGGCGGACAGGGTGGCCCTGGCCTGATCTTGCTGAGGCTGAGAGCGGAGAAGAGCAGGGGACTCCGGCGGGACCCTTCGATGGGAACTGTATCTGGTTCTGAATCCTGTCTCTCAAGACTTATACCAAGATGTATGTAGGTGGGAGCGCTGACCAGCTGCACATAAAAGAGATCTCTAAAATATTTGACGATGAGGTACAGCACGAAAAAAAATACCTCTGTTTTAACGAGAAGGTGTTAGCATACGGACTCCTTCATCAGAGACCGCACCGTGCTGCAAGTGCATGCGGCAGGGCGCTTCTCTCCGGAGTCTTCTTCAGCGACAACGGCTCTCCCGTTAAAACAAGTTGTGTAAGAAATTAATACCGCCACTGTGGTCAGCTTACGGAAAACGGGCACCGGGACCAGGGCCGCGGTGAATCGGGTGCCCACCCCCGGCCGGTCCCGTTGGGCACGGCGCTGCCGGTGCCCGAGCGGCGCTTACTGGAGCCCGCCCAGCGGGTCCCCCCGTGCTGCCGGTGGGACGGACGAGTCGCAGGGCAGGGGGGAACCGCGGGGTCGCGCCGTCCCTTCAGCCGAGAGCCACCCCATCCTCTCTCAGCAGCTGCTGGCAGGAGAGCTCGGAGAGGTGGGACGGCTCAGAGAGGGAAGCCCGACACCTGTGCGGGACAAGGTTCACTTCCCCGGCAGCTCTCGTCTCTTGTGTCAACCTTTTCTTTGCACTACTTGCGTGTTTGTACACCTGCAAGTATCTAGAGGTTTTTCATCTGTAGATCGCCGTGTGTTGGGCTGTAGAGACTGTGAACTGTGGAGGAAAGAACCGAGCCAGCGCCCTCAGACTTGCTCTCTGAGTTTGCACGCCCACTGATCCCAGCCACTGGTAAAAGATGCAGGGCTTGGACTAGCCCTAAATAATTGACTCTGGGCTGATTTAACGGGAAGAAAACGAACCCAGTCTCTTGCCAATGACTCCTTTCCCAAATCAATGCAATGCCGTTTCCTTGGGTCGGGCTGTCTGTCTCCGGTTTGCGGGTCTGGGATCTTTCAGGGCTGCAGACATGCGGCTTTCGTTCACGACTCTTCCAGTGTAGAGCTCTGTGTTGCTTAGTTGTCAGTGGCAATATCAGTAATAGGAAAAAATTCCTATTTCCTAACTGGATTCCTGAGACTATGGTTCCCCTACCAAGACCAAGAATTTGATGCAATTTGCTTTTTCCCCCCCCCTTTTTGTTTGTTTGGGTTTTTCTAGCATTTTTTTCCTTCCCTGCAAGAGAGGTCTTGGAGTGGGGAGGCAGATGGCAAGAGGGGAGTCAGTGAGATGCAGCCTTGCTTTTTTTTAGAGCGCTGGCTCTTGCACTGCGAGCAGAAGTGCAGGAAGTAATTTCGACATCCCAGCGTGGAACTTCTTCATTTATTTCAACTCTTGGTCTCTGCACTCTGAACATACAATCTGGCTGAAAGTCGTGCCTGTTCAAATCAAGTGTTGCATCTCTGCGTTCCTGAAATCGCGGTGAACAGTTGATGTGGAAGTTGACTTTATAAGCATCTATGCTAATTGTGTCACACTGTCACTCAGGGAAAGTGCTGGGGACGGAGGAAATTAGAGCAGCAATCAGATTATGTACAAGAGCATTTTGCCCCTAACGTAATGGAAGGCAAAGCCAAACTGGAAACCGTGGCGGGTTGTTTATAAATAAACAGGCACAACCAGGATGTCCTGGTTTCGGTGAGCATGATAACTCCACGCTGGAGGGCCCGAAAGGTATCGGGTGTGCCTGCCTGCCTGATTCCTTTCTCTTCTGTTCATGCGATGAATAATCAGTCTCTGGCAGGAGACCCGGGCTGTCAGGCGGGACAGACTGTGCGGGGAGGCGGGGGCCCGGGGCCGCAGTAGGCTCGGAAGGTTTTCGGCTCCTTCTGCCGTCGTCCATGCGGACAGGGCACAGCTGGAAGCCCCTCCCTGGACGGGCTTTGGGAAACACCCGAGGGGTGCGGCAGTAGGAGAGCTTCCCTAGGAGTTATCTCTGCCCCCCGCAGGCTGTCCAGCTGCTCCGAGGGCCCCTCCACCGGAGCCGCGCCCGGCTGGGGACG